ATATGAACCTATAAGCAGGAGAAAGCCTCCGGACACGCCCCATTACACATGCCAACATATCAACTTTGGCTCCAATTTATTTCAAAATGCTAGAGGAGCGTTAGGAAAGGCTGAAGGTGAGCTGCAGGGCTCCATTTAAGAGATCAACGCAGACAGTTTTGATAATGACAAATCAAGCAAATCACTGCAATTTCCAGGTACAAACAAGGGAGTCTTATTTGGATCATAACTTCATCAGTTCTATATGGAAACAGGCCTCAAAGGGATGTTAATGAGCTGTTTGGGACATCTGCCAAGGAAGGAAAGATACCCCAACCATTTAATCTAATACTGCTGCCTGCAGTGAGCCAATGCTGGGCAGCACATCATGTTCAGTAAAAGCTCCCATTAAACTAAATCACTACGACTTCCAACGGATTTAACTCTACAGTCTAACTGTTACAGACATATTTTACAAAAGGAAATCAACAGTGTTATTTTCCTTGCAGTCTAAGACTTCACAAATTTAAGAGTATTTACCTGCAGCTCCAATGGAGCTATACACACAGTATATTTACAAGGATCTGCTGTAGCCATGGCTGTCGATGCAGTGCTCAGAGAGAACTGAAGCTTCTCCCCAACCACACAGCAGGAAGCGGCCTGTTGGGAGGACAAGGTGAGGCATTAGTTTAATGTAAAACTCCAGAGAATCCTGGAGTTAAGGCAGTGACAGCATTTGCATGCTACTCATGTGGTTATACCATTTGAATGCAATTCAAATAGAAAGTAAGCCCAGAATTTTCACTGAACTAAAAGGTGCTGTATGTGAATGCATGTGTGATGCTTCATTGATAATGCATTCATGTGGTTTACTTTAAACCAGAATTATTGCCTTGCAGTTTGCATCAACCAAGCTGAAGTTTACATATCTGTCCAAATCTGTGTGATTCTCCACATCAATATCTCACCAAGTATGACCTCGCCTTCTGCTCCTGAGCTATGAGGTTCAAATAGGACCCCAAAGTGCTTCTGCAAAACATCATAAAATATCTTTTTACATCCATCCATCTTCCTAAGAGCTCATTCAATCCATGTTTGAGATTTGGCCATAGCATATTCCATCTGACTTTGGGTGACAAGCAGGGTACACCCTGGACACGTCAGCATATCCAATCCGATCAAATACATGCAAATGCTACACAGAAAAGCTTCTGTGTGCTTTGTGACAATACCTTTAACTATCAAAATCAAATTAGTCAATTGTTAAGTCGACATTAGAGGATAAAGGTAAGACGAGACAAACCAAAAGTATAATCTCAGCAGCAGTTGCCAGTGATGGGCAGAAGTCCCAGTTAAACCAGAGCAATGTGCTAACATACTGACTTTGCATAAAACTGACCCAAAACTGGCATTTGCTTCAGGACAACTTCACTTTGAACTCTGAAAGGAAGGAAAAGAAGAACAACTCTGATAGATCCCAAAGGCATCAAGCAGTATAATTATCTGTGATCTCTAGTCGAATGAATGACATGCAACCTGAACTGAGTATCAGAGGTAGTTTAAGCTTTAGAAACATATTTACTCAGCAAATTAACTCTGATTTCAGCAAAGACTGCATGTCTTTGACATAAGTACAGTATTAGAGGAAAGCTAAACATAACCATAGGTGCTGGTGTATTTCTGGCTGCCTGCTCCTCCTTAGTGCTGAGCGTGACAGCTTTATAAGCTTCTTACACACACACACACAACACACACACAGTGTGTGGTAAAAATAAACCTCTGCTCATTAAACTCCCTAGACTCCATAGAGTACCTGGTATTTTGGTCTATATCTCAACGATCACAAAGAAAGGAGTGAGTTTGCATTTAATCTCTGCAAAGCCACAAAAGTAGTGAGCAGTGTGTCCCTGTCTGACCTCCCAAGTTACAGTTTCTAGTTATACTTTCTAACACAGGTTGGCAAAAATGGGCAAACACTCTGTATGACTAATAAGTGCATCATGGTTTATTCAAGTATAGTTTACGGTAATTAACAATAGGGCTGAACGATATATCGCATTTGCGATAATATCGCGACATGATCAAGTGCAATTTTCTAACCGCAAAGGCTGCGATTATACTCTGGACATGTCCAAATTCATGGGCTGCATCCTCCTGAGGCCGCATTTGTAGACCGATTACGTCACAGCGACGCGCCGAAGGCTGTCCAAATTACTACCATATCCCAGAATTCATAGCGCGGCCCAGCCAAACTCCAGTTTCCAGCAATGGCGGCCGCTACTAAGTTTTAAAATTACTCATACTAATCTTTCTGGGTCACAAAATAAACTTTTAACATATTTTCAGGCGAGAAAGTAGTTGTGTAAACATCAAATATCTGCTCGGTTTATCAAGATATCCCATATTTGCAAAAGTGCTTCGACGTTTTCAGAGGCGTCTGCTACCCACCAGCTCGACAGCTAGCCGGGAGCTCGAGGGTTACTGATGCGGCCGAGAACGGCACAACTCCCGGCACATCATTTTCAGATCACCGCGGAGTTTCGCTGCTCGGGTTAAACGTAATATATAAGTCACTTAGACAACCTAAAAATGTTATTGTTGGGCTTTTTTCAGTGTTTTGTTTGTTCGTGAGTAAATCGGTTTGGCTGAGATTAAAGTTATTAGATTAGATAAAATAAAACTTTATTAATCCCCCGGGTGGGTTCCTCCTTGGTTTTCACACAGCTGACTAAACGTCAAACAGAAAACTTATTAAACAGAAGTATGAGACAGTCGAGAATTTACACCAGTGTCTGGTTATATTTTAGATAGCAAGAAGCAGACGGCCGAGTTTATTAAACTCCACCGAGACAGCGGTGACGCTAATCAGAACTAGACCGTCCAATTTCACGCCTTTAAGTTTTAAAGGCGTGTTTGTGTGTGTGTTTATACAATTGCTATTATGTTTGCACTTTATGTGTAATGTTACTGACTGCAGAGATCAGTAAGATGTGTGTATTTTTTATTTATTAGTTTTATTTATTTAATATTATTTTTTTAATTGAATGACTGTCTAGTAGTTCACAGATGTCGAAAAACTGAGTGTGGTAAAGCCACTGATTTTTTTTATGTATATTTCTGCAATCTGCACATTGTACTGACTTTCATTTTAATGTTTACACCAGGGTTCCTTGTCAGCACTTTATGCTCAGATGTTTGTAAGCTAAAAATAAACTATTGTGTATGTTCAAATATACTGTTGTGATTGAAGAAGTTAAATAAAAATGTCAGTCATCAATTCATGCATCACCTCATGTCATCATAACAGAGGTCTGTCTTCCAGGAAAGAACAGTTTAAAATTAATGTAATATAGTATTGGCCATACTATATGATGTATTGCTTGTCTTTGTTTAATAATACAGAAGACAAAGACCTTAAAAAATAATCGCATATCGCATCGCAATCGCAATATTGGGGCAAAAAATCGCAATTAGATTATTTTCCATAATCGTTCAGCCCTAATTAACAACCATATTTGCTGCTGATAAAATATTAAGTAGATTAGTTTGTCAACATTTAAATTTACTGAGAAAAGCCTGTAGTAACGTTGGAAAGTCGACAAGTCAGTGCTTGTCTGCCAAAAACAGTGCAAAGGTGTTTTCCAATGTGAGAATATGGAGTGAGTACCTTGTTGCCGGCAGACTTCTGAAAGCTGGAGACCCTGCTAAGCGTGAGATCTGAAGCCTCGAGACCATCCTCTTCAAATGCCAGCAGAACAGCACCCTGACACGAGACAGGGCAGAAACTTTAAAACAACAAACACCTACTCAAAGTCTTGCAGACTCGGCGAAATGTTGCCAAGGAATCAAAATTATGTGGGCTTGCACGACATTGGCAGCGTCAATCCATAAGCAGGAAGGTGGAGAGTTTACACTACAGTGTCTCTAATATCAAACTGAGGGTTATGATTAAAAAAAAGGGGGAATTTCTTTACAGCACACAAGAGGAGATTTTATAACCTTGTCGCATTATATGCTACACTTTTATTGAAGTCACCTGCTCCACAGTACAGCATTGGCTTGGTGGTCATGAGACTCACCTTTCGCTTCCTTGCTTCGTCATTCAAAGCTATGCACCAAGCTCTTCTCCACTGACTCTTCCAGCTTTTCAGTGACAGCGCCCATCCCAGCAGAGCGGCGGCTTCCTCCTCCTCTGTCGCAGCATTGTCCCCTTCTGCTGCTCCCTGCTTATTTCCTATAAGTCTATGTTGGAAATACTGTACGAAATACAGTATAAGAGTAACCAGGGAGGCGATAAACAACGTGACCATACATAGCCACTGCGGATCCTCCAACCCAAAATATGAACTGGAACTTTCTGGGTCGGACATTCTTCGGGAAAATGATCGATAATCTGAGTTTAACACACCGGTTCCTCTGGGAATTTTCCTGCCAACCTCATGTTATGTATTTAATTAAGGAACGGTGGAATCAATAAATTCAATCGCCCAAAAATGATAAGAAGACAAATATCCACCTCCAATACAAATTCTGCTTATCGTTATCCATGCTTCAGTGCTGCCATACAGGGCTTCCAAACTACGCAAGCTGGTTGTGGAAAGCTAAACCATTGTCAAAAAACTAAAGGTAGCCTGCGTACAAATAAACCTGCAGAATAGCCCACTCCTCCTCTCATTGAATACGATTGTTAGCTTAGTAAGCTAATTTTCGCTACGGCTCGTTAACTAGCTATTCTTCGTTAGCTACTAAGCCGTAAAAGTTTCCCAAAACGGACTTATGCCCGAGCTTCGTGCTCATACTCCAACAGACGATATCCAGATAAAGAGTAACATTCCCGGGAAAACATCCTGCAGGAGAAGAGTGCAGCCTGACCCGGTGGACTACTTTCAGTGTGACTGTACAAAGTTATCGCTTCCAGACGGATATGTGGCACAAACTGTAACTCCCAGAATGCACAGCGACATTTGTGAGACGTTTGTTGTTGTCGAGACCTCGAGGGAACTAAAGCTTTTTTCCATGCTGAAGATGCAACTGGGCTTTTAGGATATTGTTTTTATTAGCATTAAGCTATTACACGATTAGATTAGTCCATGTTTAAGTCGAAATCAACGGAAAACAAATCCGAGCTGGTATTTTGAACTACACGACTTCCCGTAGCTCGTCCTGTTGTCCACCACTTCCTGTCTTATTCTTAATCTGTTTGTAGTAGTAAACAATTAGCTATCTTGCGTTTGCTACAATGTATCAACGCTCAGTGAGCACGACTGTTATGTGGAGGTTGCGTATTATCGATTAAAACCCAGTTTTGTATTTTAATATACAATAACACACTGGATTAGATATTTCACGCCGATTTGTGAATGTAAACAGTATACCTTCGTCATCTACCGTGGTCTAGCTGCTATACAGTAGCTATCGTCGCTGAACTCGACTCCTGCTCTTCGTTAACAGACGTAACTAGACATTCGCGATGAATTGTCGCTCGGAAGTTCTTGAAGTAACTGTGGAGGCGAGACAGGTTGAAGAAGCTATGTTAGCTTTGCTGCACACAATTTTGCTGCACCGGAGCACCGGGAAATTTCACTACAAAAAGGAAGGCACCTACTCCATCGGCACTGTGGGCACACAGGACATCGACTGTGACTTCATAGATTTCACCTTTGTCAGGGTGTCCTCAGAGGAGCTGGACAGGATGATCAGGAAAGCGGTGTCTGAATTCAAGGTGATTGTCTGTTTTAACGCGTGATTTCTGACTCTCGTGTTGTGAGGCCTGTACTTTCAGCTGTGCTTTTGTTGCAGGATGCTTTGAGCAACTCGGGCAGCGACGGCATGGGACAGATCTCCCTGGAGTTCTACCAGAAAAAGAAGTCTCGCTGGCCTTTTTCTGACGAGTGCATTCCTTGGGAAGTGTGGAGCATCAAGGTGAATGTGGTCAACCTGGCCAATGAGCAGGAGAGACAGATCTGCAGGGAGAAAGTGGGTGAGAAGCTGGGTGAGAAGGTGATCAACGTCGTTGAGGTCATAAATCGCCACGAATACCTGCCAAAGATGCCCACCCAGTCAGAAGTGGACAATGTGTTTGACACCACTCTTAAAGATGTTCAGCCATACCTTTACAAAATCACATACCAGATCACTGACTCACTGGGCACTTCTGTTAGCACCACTATGAGAAGGCTGATTAAGGATACACTAGCATTGTGAGAGAAAATATTTATGGTGTGGATCTTTCATATGTTTATGGTCCTGCTGTCATTTCTTTTCTATGTTTTGTCAGCTATACAGCGGAACAATGAGGCAGTGTCAGTATAATGGTGTTCTAATGTCTTTGTTGTGCTTCTGGTATCATTTGTACCTTAAGAGACTGAATTATGTAATCTTCATTTTAACAATCTCTTGCTTGTGCAAGCTTTCCCTTTTCTCTCATACACACTAGCAAATAACCGTGTTTATCAGTTTGGTTCCTTAAAATGTTCTCTTCTTGATAATGTCATCAGTGCATTACTGTAAATTTTGAATAACAATAAATGTTTACTTTAATTACAGCCACAGCTCTTGACGCAAAACATTGCTTCCATATTATCACGCTGGATCAGTGTAAAACGTTTTATGCAAAAGATCTGGCAGAGTTTGGGAACAGATTTCCTCATCTGTGTGAAAACTTCCTCTCTGCACAGTTTCATGGAGAGTATGACCTTCCACATGGGGAAGGACAGGATTTCCAGTTTGCCACTTTTCCAAATTAAAGCAAACACTTCCTAAGTTCACTCCCTTGTTTCCAGCCAGAAACTGCCACCACGGCCTGCACTTTGAAAAACATCCCTCTGTTTTCAGGATAGTCTGCTTGCCAAGAGGAAAACAACATGTGTGTGAATACATTAGGTCAACATGTACATTGGGTATAATTATCTGCTCTCTAGTTTGAGGGGACAAGGTGTAGAACATATTCAAAAGCATTAATCACTGAATCCCTGTACAGTACTGTGAAAGTATTTGGCCTCAGTTTTTAAATGATGATTTCATTTATTAAGGGGAAAAAATCAACATACCTGGTCCCATGTGAAAGAGTAATTGCTCCTTCTTGCCTCATATTGAATCAATTAACTGTAATTAGCCACATTTTTGGGAAAAGTGAGTTCAACTTCAGTGTCCACACCCGGGTCTGTTCAATCTAGAAATCACTGGAAGATTTGCATCCGTTACGTCTTCCATAAAACAAACACAGTATTTCATAAAAAGAACATCACACCAACAGTCAAACATGGTGGTAGTGTGATGGTCTGAGGTTGCATTAGTGCTTCAGGACTTTGATACCTTGCCATGAATTTGTGTTCTGCAAGCTTAAGCACAAGTGGGTTATCAAGCTGGAAAAAGATCCAAAAAACGTCAACAAGTCTGAAAAAAATAAAAAATCTTGCTGTTCATGCTCATAACCAATCCAGTGTGGCTGAAATAAAACAATTCTGCAAAGAAGTGTCAAAAATTCCTCCATAGTGATGTGAAGAACTCATCAAAAGTCACGGCAAACATTTGGTTGCAGTTCCTGCCACCAAGGGTGGCACAACCAGTTATTAGTTTAGGAAGCAATTATTTTTTTCACACAGTGACAGGTAGGTTTGGATAGCTTTTTTTTTAAAGCATTACAAATATCACTTAAATACATTTTGTATTTACTCAGACTGTCTTTGTCTAATATTCAAAATTGTTTGATGATCTCAAAATCTTGTAAATGCGACATATGTTAGAAACTAAAATCAGGAAAGGGCCACCTACTTGCTTTTAAGTTGAGGTTTTGTGCAGTAAATAAATATCAGAATTCCCAACTTCATTGCGTTGGTAATGCTGAAAGTACTGCAGTGATGAGCGGATCAATCAGTCAGCCAGTTGGCAGACAAGTAATTTGCAATACCTATGAGTTTTCTCAAACATTTCCACTCTTGGCTTGTCAAATGGCAAAACAACGACTTGTGCTCTAGTTTTGTAGCATTTGACTGAATCTGAGCAGAGAATATAGCCCTCTACACGTCTGTCAGCAGTCACAATAAACACTAGTGATGTGGTTCTACTGGCAGCCATATATACCCCTGCCACAACATATGTTTGACAGGTTATGTGGTATGTTTCAGATCAAGAGCTGTTTTTCATCTTCCCATTATATTTCTATTCCCATCATTTTGCTCCACGATAATCTCATGAGTCCAAAGAATTTTTTTTTATTTTGTTTTTTTTAGAAGTCTGCAAGAACTTTCGCATGTTTTCTGACAAAGTTAATCCGGCCTTCCTAGTCTTGAGTGTACTTTGACAAAGATACGCACACCTTCTCAAGAGTTTTCCAGACTTGGTTAGATGTGAAGAAGTTTTTCCAAAGTGAGAAAAACAAAACCTCTGTGATTACCCCTTCAGTAGTCTTCTTGGCCTTTTGGTGTTGCTGAGCTGAACAGTGCATTCCTTCTCTAAAGTTTTGCTCTTTCTGAAAGTTTTCTTTTTGTTTGATTGTTTTGTCAGCCTAATGCTCTTTCACTTGGTCCTAACAGTGAGAGTTCCACTTAACAACTACTAAATGCAAGGTCATCACAGATCAGCTTAGCCATGGAATAAAGAGGGAACAGGCCTTACCTGGTCATCAACTGCTTGTCAACAGTCTAATTATTTTGAAAACAATTTTAAAGCAGTGCTACATATAATTCAAAATCAGTTAATGCTTTTGTTAAAACCTTTAAATTAAAGTCTGCATTAGTCACATTGCAGCCATTTGATTTGATATTCACTGGGGAGGTGTACAAAGGTAAAAAATTATGTACAAGCATTTGGACAACAGCACAAGTATTTGGAATCCACCTTTTTACACATTATTCTATCCATTTAATTACTTAATCTACCTAGCAGCAATATGTAGCCAATTTATGAAGGCCAATTAGACTAACACGAATGAAAATGTAACCCAAAATCTTTTGATCCACCGTGAAACACTCAAAGTTGTTAAGTTCATAAATCCAACACCAAATGATCATTTATATATGTATATAATATATATATATACTCCATTGTTACTCTTTATTACAGAAGTGAAGCACAAAACTGTAGAAAAACCTAAACACAAAACAGCTGCAAGTCTCAAAAAGCAACAGCGATGCAACCAATGTTGATACAAATATTCATTATTGCAGTGAGAGCACAGGAATACTAAAAAGATCAAACTCTTGTTTACTAACAAAATCGGTACAAAAATCAAGAATACAAACACCTCCATGTACACAAGTCTATAAGCATTCCTGTGAAACTTTCAGAAAGTCTTTCTCACAAGAAATTAAGAGCACTATTATCAATACAGAATTTCCGCAAAGAATTTAACATCACAATGCAGCTTGCATTAATCATTTAGTGGAAAACAAAGTCCATTAGTCCATGTGGAGTTCTGTCTGTCAGGCTCCCAAACAGCAATAATAATTTATGACAAAGTTCTAAACTATCAAGCCGAAGCAGAAGTATATACTTGTACAAGAATACATTTGTAAAACAACCGGAATACAATCAAAACACAATCATTACTTTTCCAAGAAATCTTCAGGAAGCAGGAACACTCTGTGACCGTTCGTAGAATAAAGATTTGCTGTCTCGTTGCTTTCCCTCCCGTTAACGTCGCCACCTTGAAATGCCTGAGTCATAAGTGGTCTGAAGCTGTTGTGCTTTCACGTAAAATAACAAAATAGTTTTGTAAAGTTGCATAAGGCCATCGAAGCGCTGTAAAGCTCACTTAATAGTCCAATGTGTTCAATTGCAAAAAATTCTATCAGTGTATTTACACAACACTGGTGCCGCACTCAGCGATTGAGACACTGTGACAACGTTTGATGTGAAAGCTTCTGAAAGCTTACTCACAGGAAATATTTAATATTATTATAAGCCAAATACTGCAAGGATGTCTCGTATTTGGGACTTTATGAGATCAACCCAGCTCACTGTTTTTCAGCGACAGCCTGCATGGCTACTAGTGCACTGGTCTGAGCACCTTTTTCCACATAATTTAGCGACGTTTTAGTCATTTAACTTCAGAAAATAAATATTTTTTCTGTAATCTTCCAGTTGATTGCATTGTTTCACAGCAGGCTAATCATTAGGAAGATACTGTGTTTGTTGGTACTGAATGAAGACTGTATGTGGTATAGCTTTCTTATACAGACTGTCTCATTGAATTTTTCCATGAAATGAGTTGATGTGAATTCAATATGAGCCTCAAACGTAAGAACAAATGAGTGCTAAAAAAAAAAAAAGTTATAGATGCTTTTTATTGTCACTTTTACTCCTGCAGCCTAAAAACTCGGTCAGGGAAACATACTGATCCAGAGTAATCGCTGAGGATTATATCTTCCTACCAGAATCAAAAAAGTGCATATTGAATACATTGTTGAGGCCACCAATAATATCTTAAGGGATGTCAATCACATGTTTGTACAAAAAGCAAAAGCTCTCGTCTTTAAATGAACCGCAGCCTCCAAAATTTTAAAGCACTTTTTCCACCACACTCGGAGAGAACAACGTAAACACTTGTCCCGCCTTTTTCTCTACCTTCAGTCGAAAACATTGAGGGGTGCAACTCTTAAAACGACTAGATAGGTAAATACAACTAGACAACCAAAAGAGGTCTGAAACAGATAAATTCATATAGATCATTTTGCAAGAAAAAAAAATTATAGTCATCTCTTCTCACAGAGGAATCTAGCACTTGATTGCACATTCACGTTTACGCGTCTAAATAAACATGGCCACTTCAATATATGACATTGGAGGCAAGCGAATAAGCTATACATTCAAAGTCTTTTGTTTGTAGGCTGAGGTGTGTTTATTCTTATAGTAAGTATTGTCTCCCGAGAAAAAAACTCACTGCTATCGGCCATCTGAATCTTACATGTGACTGTGACTCTGCTCGTGGCTCCACAGACTGAAGGCCGTCTTGAAGGTCCTGTGGCAGAGTTTGCACATGTACTGCCTCTTAAATGTCAGGGCAGAGAGAGACGGTGCGTGGTAAAAGAGTGTGTCCGATTCCTGAGGGCCGCCTGGATTCTCCATGCTGTTTGACCTTGACAGGGGGCTTTGGCTGCTGGTTTGCCGTTCCAGTTCGGGCCTCTTGGTCTTGCTTACCAATGAGCTGCAGGGATCTGGGCTGCTGGACTCGTCGGTCCCTGCGGTTGCAGCAGCAGTAGCAGCAGGGACCGGTGCCGCCTGAGTAGATATGAGCACAGAGGCCTGTGGGGAGGGACGTTCTGAAGGGGTAAGTGGAGGGGAAGGGCTCAGAGGTGAGGGGTTTCTGTCGATCTCTTTGGCTCCGGGTTCGTTAGCAGTCGACATGTGAGACTGGAAGTGGCTCCAAAGGCGGAAGTTGGTCCTGAAGGCTTTGTTGCAGATGTGACAGATGAATGGTTTGATGTGGCATAGCAGCTCCTGGTGTCGTTCCAAGTCTTTGCGAGAGCTGAAAAGATTTCCGCATTTCTCGCACGGCCACACACCGGGTTCTTCGGAGCCACTTTTGGCAGCATCGGGGTTGTCCCGCTCACTCACAGCCTCCTCCAACGGCTCTTCCTTCACTACCAGCTTGCCATGGTGGCCCATGCTCAGGTCTTCAGGCACATAGGAGGAAGAGTCTTCAGAGTCATACATAGGTGGACCTGAGGAATCACTGTAACTGATGTTCTCTCTTGTGCTCTCGCTTGTTAGAGGCTCATCACTGTAATGCTCCTCCTTGAGCATTTCAGACTCCTCTTCATTGTTCTCTTGTTGCTTCAGGAGAATGTGGTCTTTAACAGTCATCATATTGTGGTTGTGCACCTCCACCTGATGGCGCCAAATGCTGAAGGAGGATTTGAAGGTGCGCATGCATTCCAGGCATGTCAGTTTCTTGTACTTACAATGTGCCTCGTGGTCTTTCTTGACAACTGGACTTGAGAATCTGAGGCCACAATAGGGGCACACGGTTGCATGGCGACAGCCTCTCTCGTGGTCACCCTGTTCCAGGAGCGATGACAGCTTCATATTGCAAAGTCTACAGGAGTAAACACCGGTGTCAGGGTTCTTCTGTTGAATGATCTCATCCTGTTCCTGGTAGAGGATGCTCTCCCTCGCTGTGTCCTGGTCAGCTTTTTCAGCAGGATGTGTCCTTAAATGCTGTCTGTACTGAGACTGGAACACAAATGTCTTGCCACAGTATGGGCATATGTAGCTGGGCCTCGACCTCTTTTTTGTAATTGCAGGAGACTGCAAACCCTGCTTATTCCTCTTTAACTTCCAAAGCAAAGCTTTCTTTATTTCTCTCTCTCTCACAATATCTATTAGCTTCTTTTGAAATTTCTCATCAAGAACAGAGGAGCTGGCGGACGACGCTGGGTTTTGTACTACACCATGCTGCGTTTGGCAGTGCGTCCACACTTTGAAGTTGGTATGAAAGCGCTTGTGGCAGATGTCGCAAGCATACGGCTTTTCCGGATTGTGATACATATTTACATGACGATGAAGCCCAGCACCTGACCGGAAAACCTTTAAACAATTCCAGCATTTGAAAATCTTGTTCTGAGGTGACTCCTCGCCGTCCTCGTTAGGGTCGCCGCTGGCATGCTGAGGTACTGCTTTTGACATATTCACGTTAACTGACAGAGCATGCTCTTTAAATAGTTTGCTCTTCTTTAATGGGTACCGTCTGTTGTCTGGCCTGTCCCTTCTTTTCCCCACAGGATTTAAGACTTCCCTGGGATCTTGATCATAATTAGTTTGAAAGTCTTTGAGACTGACTGGCAAAGAATCACCAACTGTGATGCGTACGATGTCCATGGGGTCAGCGAGTGGACTGCTGGGCTCAGCTTTCACACACACCTCTCCTTCTACCTGAGTTTCTCCATCATACCTGCCGGTATACTTTGACCTGAGAACCAGAGGAGACGTTCTTTTTGAGTCGCCGTTGTGGGCAGAGGTTTCTGGCACAGACGTCTTCAGTGCCATCTGTACAACTGACTGGTCTCGATTTTGCAGCTCCTTGAGCTCCAGCGTGGGGGAGAAGACTGGAACGGGGCTGTCCATGGATAATGACCTCCTGAGTAGGCTTTTTATAAGTGGCCCACTCCTGTCAATGGTCTGGCTTGGCTCACTAGCCTGACCCTGAAAGGGCACTTTGGTATTGTAGCGGGACTCCTGCTCCTCATTCTCCTCTTTATTGTCCTGGTCAGGGCCAGACGGCAGCCTGATGTGCTGCACTTCAGCATCACTGAAAGACACTGATGATGTCAGCTGGGGTCTCACGGGTGTGAAGTGTGATGAATTCCCTTTCAATATGGAGGCATACGTCCTCTCCAAAGCTTCACCCCGGTCAGGGGACTTCCTGCTGGGCTCAGAGTTTCTGACCGATTCGTACGAGTTGTGTTCCGAGGGAGGCCGAGTGGACCCATGAGCAGAGTGGGGAGATGTCGATCTCTCAGATGTTTTTCTCGGATAACTCGAGCGAGAGGGATGGGCCGTGTCATTCCGGACCCGACGCACAATGACGCTCCTTGTGTGGACATCATTCTCATCCCCCTCTGAGAACGAAAGCCTTTTTCTAGACACACAGTAGGATGCATGTGGCCTTGTTGACACAATGTTGGTGAGGAAAGGGATTCCGAGGCTGTATCCCAGCTCTTGAATGGCTGCCAGGCTGCCTTTGTCCACAAAGAGTGAGGAGGAGTAAATGTAATTCAAAACGATCTCAAAGGCGTCCGGCTCACAGAAGTCCAGGTTTACAACTGTCAGCGAGTCTGCGTCCATCCGCGAGAAAAGGGACTGGAAATACTCACTGCTGGCAGCCAGAACACTCTTATGGGCCTGGTACCTTTGGTCTCCCACAACCAGGACCACATCACACGCTTGTCCCCGCAGTCGCTGCTCATTCAGAGCCCCCAGCAATGACAGGGCGTGGGAGGGGTTACTGTAATGCACTAGGCTCTCCATGGCTGAAAGACAAGAAAAAAAGATTATATTATAAAAAGATTACATTTTATTGAAACAATGTAGGCATATAAACATATATATGCATATACTCTTGATCTAGATACATTTGCATACTTTAGATGTTTCAGAATTCTTTGGACATGGATGCATGAACAGGAATAAGCATCTACTAAATAAAAGCTGATGGGCTTTTGTGCACTATATTTATAATTGTGTGTGGTGTTCTTGTCAGTTCTCTGTGATCAGTTGAATATGACACCAAGTAAAAATTCATAGTCTCTGTATCAGGGGTGGGAAACTCCAGAGTCCTGCAGGTTTTAGACATCACCCTGGGTCAACACACCTGAATTAAATGATTAGTTCATTAGCAGGCCTCTGGAGAACTTCAAGACATGTTGAGGAGGTCGTTTAGCCGTTTAAATGAGCTGTTTTGGACCAGGGACAAAAACCTGCAGGACACCGGCCCCTGAGGCCTGGAGTTCCCCCATCCCTGCTCTGAATAGTAAAAATACATTGTTTCACTAATGAATAAAGGAATCTCAGTACGTGTTCTTCACATTCTTCCGTCATCGAATCTACTTCAAAGTTGACACTGGATTTTCTGCGCGCGCGCGCACACACACACACACACACACACACACAACACACACAACACACACACACACACACACACACACACACACACACACACACGGCAGTATTCTTGAAGCCTTTTGTCTGTTCTCCCCAAAAGCGAGCGACTATGTAATCAGTTCTGTTTGTTTGTCTATTAGCAGTCTAGCATCCACCGTTTTCAAGATATCCTATGCAAATTTCGTCTGATGGTAGACACCCATAAAAGCTCCGGCTGATTTAATTTAGGTGAAAATCAGGTGAAGATCACACCAAATATGAAAACCAGTCAAATCTGTTTATTAATCAGAGATTTATATGGATCGTATTCAAACTTCACAACAATATACTAGACCTTGGGGGACATGAGCAGCTAGTTTGGGTAAACATTTGACTTTGACCTTCAAGAAATCTTTCAAGCATAATATATCACATGAAAGGGCATCGGGAAAGCTGTACAACACACTTTTTTTCCAATACAACACCCTATCACACACTGCATGAATATATATTAAAATCTCAAGTTTTTACAGCTTAAAAAAGCTAAAGATTTCAGCTGGTTCTGCTCCAATCGTATGGGTAAAGATAATAAAGTACACTATTTTAGTATGTAGGGCTTCAAGGTCATAAGTCAAAGGTCAGGGTCACATGAATTAGGAAAAAGCGTTGGTTTCCATCGGATCGGATTCAAACTCTAAAGCATTAGTCCTTGGGGGGGGGGGGACATAAGCAATAAGCACTTGTTTGTTTGAGCTCGTTAGAATATTATTCAGGAGCTCATATACAACATGACTTCACGGTGAGACAAAAAGATTAATATACTACACCAGATCTCCATATTAACAACGCTGACATCAGCATGTTGCATGCACGAATAATCCAAGTTTTAGTGCAGCCTTTGGTGATCGTTCACGTTACGTTGCAACCATAACCGTTCAAAGGAAGTAGTAACACAATACAATAATTGCTGAGAACTACAGCTGCAGCCATTATTCATTATTAAGCAAACTGGCAATCCAATAACTGCAAACATGCCAAACATAGCAAAGCTCCAGTTTATCATGTGTGAAGATTTTATGCTCATCTGTTTTCTGTATTACTGAAAACAGCATAGCTCTCACTTTTCAGATGCTCATCTGATAAAAACACAAGACAGGATTATGTTGTCTAAAATACAGTAACAAGATTTATTTTGCTTACATTTTATTTATCCAAACGACCTATCAGTTTTATTATGAGCTATAAATATTGATGCCTTACAGACGGCTGTAAAAGTAAAGAAACAACTGGTTAAACTAGGCATCGTGTTTAACACAACGGGGTTTACAACTACATGTGCATTTTTTGTCTTGCTGTTGTTTGTGATGGTCACTAGAGGTCAAAGTTGAGCCTTTTAAAATATAAAATGGTGTAAAGGAACTCTCCACAGAATTTATGGAAATTACATCATGTTATCAGTCTGAAGGTAGGAAAAATGGAGTTCTGTCAAGTTGCCCTCAACCACACAGGGCACTACAGGAAGTTTAAAAGGTTTCAACTACAAGTTGAAATGCATTGTCTGCCTTGATCCACCTTCACCTAAACCATTAAACATCTACATTTATTTCTATGGTTGTAAAATGTAACTATCAGAGAAAAGCACTCTTGATATTTCAGGAGGCAGGTTTATTTGATGAATCTAGCCTGCTGTTTATACTGTCTGCTAAAAGATTCATCAAACATGGCACAGGATCCATTAGCATTTGTATGCTTTACAGCCGAGCTTAAACACCATTGTGCTGACTACTTCCATGTCACCCTTTGTGTGATGATCAAGTCTACTTGTGCTGTAATCGAAACTAAAACAGTTTAGAAAGCACACCAAGTTATAAAGTATTGACTTGAACAAAGTTTTCTTGCACTAAATTTGGGCTTTATGATGCGTTTTTCATCATTTTTCTTATAAATCTAATTTATTTTGTAGAATTCATGTAAGAAACTGCATAATATCGATGCACCTGCATCGGTCAGTGGTGAGACAACAATAATACTACTGAACAGCACTGTACTGTTACAAGAACAAACCCCATCTGACGCACAGCAATAGTTGTGTGATTAACATAGTCAAAAACAGGCACTGCAAAGCATTATATGCATGCATTTCATTTTCCTGAAAAAGGTGCTGCCTGGACGTCACGGCGTTTATTTTGGAAATTGTAACCGGAAGTCGCGTTACTTACGTCGGCTACTTTGACACTTGCTAAATATATTTATGGGCAGAACCCCCATTCATTCATCAAAAAACTAAAGATTGCCTCGTGGACTTTGGGTGAAAATGTGTGCTCCGTGTTAGGAAAAACACGGGAATGTTGGGTCGTGTCATGTTTTCCCAGAGGAAGCCGAGTGAAGCTTCGGGCATTAGATCATCCATGAGACGTGGCTCTAAAAGAACTTCTCCGACTGATATGCTGCTTTCACTTCACAACGCATTCGTACATTTCTTTTTTGTTTAGCTTCAGACAAACCCGAGGGTGCAACGCCTGGTCTCGAGCAGCTAACACCGAATAAAGAGGGGGAAAGTTGAGCGCGTTTCAATGGACTGCACCGCGCTAATCCAGAAATGAAAGTCTGCGCGGGCAGAGACGCCGTTTTGGCGTGTAAGGAGTCAGTTGTAAACGCTATCCCCGGTGGAAGTCATGGGCTTTTGGTTTTGTTATGTTTAGTTCTTTTATTTTTTTTCCCACCAAAAAAGCAAAAACGGCTCCACACCGGCCTGACACTGGAGCTGCTGCTGGCTGCAAAACAGGTTGTAGCTGGTCAGGTTTTTACAGCGACACAATCCCCCCTCCGAGTTACGTCAGGGAGGAAAAAGCTTCTCCTTAACAGCTCTCACCAACTGTGTCTGCGCCTCCCTGCTCGTGTTACTGAACGGTAACTTCGTTAGGCTGGCTACACTTACCCTGCCCGTCGTGAATACGGTCTTTCCTCCACGTAGCCGGGACTTTGTTCAGTGTTGTGTAGATTTCTCCGCGCTGGTCGTGATTCCATCCATCTTGAATTTGACGTCATCCCACACCAGGGATGAGGTCATCGCAGAGAGCGCTCGTCACGTGCACCGTGCACTGATAGGCTGGTCAAAGAGCAAGGGGCGGTGCAAACGGAAGACTCGAAACTGAGGCTAATTTAAAGGGATATGTCATGTTTTTCGTTTGATCTTTTTTTAAAACAAGATTTAGTGAAAGTCGGTAAAGGCTAACTAGCACTTTCCTGCACATTGTAATTCACTGCACACTTTAGTTGCACACTTTGAGGTACACTGAGTTTGCTGCTGGGGTTGTTCTGCTTGTGTGAAGTCACATGTGGTACAGTAAACCTGACCAAGTGTGGAAACTTTTAACACCAAGTAGGAAGTAAGTGCTCTCCTTATTTTTGTTTCTTTCTTATTTTTTATAGTTTCAGTCTGCTTATTTTAAAGAGTACTTTTTTACTTTACAATGCCATGACTTAAACGTTATCAATGCTACAGAAGACACTACTTTGATGCCCATCTAGCCCCAGTGAAACTAATTATATCCATGACTACAAAAGAAGTCACTGCAGCACAGCAGTGTATTTGTGTCATCACTTCTATCCAGTGGGGATTTGTCACCATGCCTATTTTGCTTAAAGGCCTTTTCCTGGAAAGCCTCATCTGCTACAGTACCTGGCAACAGTCTCATCTCACTTAATCAAGGACAGCACTGATGGTGAAAAGACAGCACCACTCCCAGTTATCTTTAGGTTCAACAAAACACGAAAGCATGCGTATGCAAAGCATATATTTATGTTTGGTGACCTCTGATAACCCATCTGAAAACCCTTCACTGCCTTGCATTCACACCCACAAGCCTGCTAGCATGAGCCCACTCATTACTGCTTAATCACTGAATTACGTTTAATCAGGTTCATTTTCACACCTCATTACTATTAATGGAACACCATTATTTGAACGGGTACTTCTGCGAAGAATTAAAGGCATGCCAAAAGGCTTGTAGAATTTTAGCAGGATTTTCACATTCAGACACATTCAGAGCCTTTTTTTTAGAATATGTCTTTGACAGCCAAAGCATCCTGTTGCTTTTTGATATTAGCAGAATGAAGACATGTGGGAAAATGGCAGGGAAGTTCTCACTCCTCCTTACTTGATTTTAATAGCTAAGATGGTTGGTTGTTAATGCCAGCATCATAGCAAGCACTGCCATGGTTACCTGAGTGGAAACCAAGCCATTAGGGACTCTGACTCCTCCCAGCCCATAATTCTCCTTGGACTCATAAACATGTTTACTTACAATGACACAGCCAAAGAATAGGCAAATCCATAATGCATTTATTTGACAAAAATAAAAGCATGCACTTCCTCTCACAGGTTGCATGAAAAGCAAAGACTTTGTTTGTCGTGTTTATGCTGATTATCCAGGTTGTTTCGCTGACAGCAATTTAAAACCCGCTTAAAAAAACATTTACCTCTTTCCAAAATTAATATACTTTTAGTAAATTAATAAGATGGTAACTGCAAATATCTAAATTCATATAATACTTACCTGTTGGATGCTGTAATTTTGTGGTACATTTGGGACCGTTGGGTCATTAAGGGGAGGGGAAAGATAGCCACAGAGGACTTGGTCTTTGACTACACCCTGAACAGTGCGCTGGTATCATTTCAAAGTGAAATATGGAGGTAAAATGTGGTGCTTAAATACATGGGTGAGATTCTGATGTTAAAATGAGTTGGATGTTCTCGTTTGGGGTGGCTGTGGCCCTGCTGGCTCTCTGTAGGGGACAGGACACTGTGAATGAAGGTAGGCCACGATGCCGACGACAGATTTACTCTAAACAGATGTTTTAACAAAACAGAATGTGACATTTATTTCGATTAAAGCCTTCACATTTCATTCAAAACTTTCCGAGCACATTAACATATAGGAGCAGTTTATTAGAGTGACTCAAAATGTTATTTTGCAGCAGTGTACAAGATACCAATGGAAACATCTGATATCAAAAAGATATATTTTATTTTCAGGAAATAGCCTGTGTCTGTCTGGCTACCACCTGTGCACTCATAACGAAACAAAGATTGTGAGTTTCCTGGTGGTGCACAAGGTTCCCTATTCAGTGTCAAAGCCTTGTGGCGGTTGGCTCCTCTGGAAGACTTGTAATGTTACAATGTACAGGATGATCCATCAGACTGAGTACAAGCTGGTGACGGAGCAGGTGATGGGATGCTGCTCTGGCTATGTGCAAGTTGGTCGTTACTGTGCCCTGCGTGAGTATACTGCACTGATCAGGATTAAAGAAAAGCACACATTGTTTTGTTCTTAGACTGTAGAAGACACTTTTTCTGTCTGCAAAATCTGATTATGTACCACACACACACACACACACACACACACACACTGTCTCTGGCCAGGCAGTCAGCGTGACCTTTCAGTGTGTGGTGCTGTGTGCAAGACACCAGATGGAAGCGCTGAAACTGCAATGCTACAAATATCTCACTGCTAATATATGGCCTGCAACATGTTATTTCCTTTGAATGAAGCTGTAAACAGGAGTGGTGAGTTTACTTCCAAGCCAGGATCCTGTCCAACTGCAGATGGATTGCATCCCAGTTCTGAGGAGTGTGACTTGGATATAGACTGTCCAGGCTGGCAAAAATGCTGCCAGAGATCTCACCACTCTTCCTGCAGTGATCCAGCAAGTTAGTATATATGTGATTTTGCATCCACATTGCATTTAAAGTGAATGTTCACCATGCATCTTACTGTGCTTTGTTTAAGCAAATGACAGTTTTAGAATAGTGCTAAAACGTAATGAGCGACTCAACTCACTGAGGCATTAAACTGAAATTTGCCGTTTTTGCTAAACTTCTATTGCCCAGCGTCTACGGTATATCAGCTAAACATGACAAACTGTTTTTATCTGTTAGTGCAGCTTTACTGCTGCCATCTTGGTGCTGATGTGGCCGCTCTGTTGATGTGTCATTTTCCTTGGTATTTTGTAAAATTTCAAAAATGAGCACTCAGAGAGGGCAGATCCCCCCGAAGGGCGAGGGCTACACTAAATGCATGCAAACACGGGGAAAACAGGCAAACTCCTCACTGTTGGTGGAATCGAACTCAGGACTTTCTCGCTGTGAGGCAACAGTGCTAACCACCATGCCACCGTCAAATGAAGTAAAGGAAAAAAATGCATCGGTTTTCTTACAGCAACAGTAAAAAGTTACAGAAACTGAAAGTGTTAACAAAAACACGCTCATATGTTCTGTGTCACGTTCAGCCGATGCAGACCGCGCACACGCTAAGAGTGCAGCAAAAAACAGACACACAAAAAAATTAAAAGAACATGTTGTCTTGACAACGGTGTGTTTCATTGCTTCTGGTGTTCGTACGTGTGTTCTTGTAAAATTACAGTGCCACCAAATTCTTTTACAAACTAATCTTAGTGACTTGGGGTAATCCACAGACCCCACAGTGTGTGTGCCATTTTCACTGGATCCCTTCCTGCTGAAGAAAATATGAAAGGAATAACTGCTGAGTCGTATATAGACCGCTTCAGCCTGTTCATATTTCATTTAGCAATTAAATAAATAAATCAGCTGATTTTCTTTTTTTTAACCAAGCTCTTAAGTGAGCCTGTAGGTCTTTCTCTGAAGCAGGGAGAAATCTGTCGACACTGATCTTTATATTGTATCATGTTAATCTCAGCAAATTACTCTGAGAATGGAGGAAACCGTTTGAATGCAACAGTGACAGTGAAGACAGACTACCAGCAACTGATGTCCAAGAATGAAGGGCTTCTGAATCACACAAGGCTGCTGCAAGCAATGGTAACACAACAGCTTCTATGGTCAAACTTCCTCCAGACATTTATAATGAGACTAGACTTCCAACATAAGCACTTTCTTGGTGGTCGCTTTTTTATGAAAATATGTTCGTCTGTGTCATCATCAGGTGACTGGAGCTCTGCAGTCTGATGTTTCTGTCTATTATCTCAGCACATGGCCTGTGCATCCCTACAGAACTGCCACCTCTCTGCTGATTGAGTGTAACTTCACTCTCTCGTTGTACAACGTCACATCGAAGCTGCATCGCCTTCTCGAACGCATAGAGGAAGTGTCTTCAATAACAGTGCAAGGTGAGGAGGCACTGTATGGCAGTTTTGACCTCTCTGCGGAGCTACTCGGCTTTTTTTCTTTTGAGAAATGACATTCTTGTAGAGTTTTGAGAATGATTCATGTGCAAAGAACACGGCGTTCAGGAAAAAATGACTCAGTCGCACCACAGTTTCCTTCTCCCACTACTTCTGTTTGAGTGACAGTCATCTGTGGGATGTTTCCTGCAACAGCGGAAAATAACACCAGAGCGATCGCACACGCACACACAGAGACAAACACACGTGCATGAACACACGAAACTCACACCCACACTCAGATATTTATCATAAATCAGTCATGCTTGCTACATTCCCACAAAACATGGCTCGCGTGCACGTCAAGCTGGCTTTTTCTCAGAGATAATTAATTTCCCTTTTTCTGTGCTGAAAGCCATTTATTTTTAGACACATCTGAATTTTCAAGCCTTTAAATGAAAGATGTGAGCAAGATAAGTGAATCCAGTCTTGACTTGCATAATGTGTTTCAAGTTCCAGTGATTTTTCCAGGGTCCCGAACAGATGTGGAGATTTTCTAAACAGCTTCCACTATAAACTATTGATTTATTTTCAGAAACACATTTGTTACAACTCATGCAAACACAACTGTAATTGAACAGCTTTTATGTATGTGTAATTATGATTGCTGCTTAACTCTTCCATATGTCTGCATTTTCATTGCAGATGTAGACGAGTGTGCACATTCTGCTCTTCGGCAGTGCTCGCTTTGGGCCGACTGCAACAACACAGTGGGTTCTTATGAGTGCGTCTGCCACCAAGGTTACATTGATGTTGACCCGAGCAACCCTGGAGCCCACTGCTCAGGTTTGACCGCACACTTGTGTGTGTGTTTGCAGTGCAGACGTAACCCTTTAAAGTCTGGACTGTGAGATAATTGCCAGATAATTAAAATGTTTATTTGCACATGACTTTGTTCCATTTTTGCTATGCGCACCAATTTGTGCAATTTATTTAGGTTTTTCAGAAACTAGCTCACACTTAACTTACACGTGCACAATGTATGTACACAGAGAAAGCAATCATATTGCTAAATATAACATCTGAACCTCGTTTGAAAGTGTTCTTTTTCTCAAGTGCTTCCAGTTACCCTATCCTCAAAATCCCCTGAGCCCTTACTTTTGTACTCGTAAGTGCAGCATCTCAGACAAGTACAATAGTTTAGATTCAGTCACTTTAGAAGTGACAAGAGGGATTTCCCCATCAGAAAGCCCCGAATAGAAACTGATAAGATTACAGTTAGACTGATCAAAGAGCTTTTTGGGGGGTTAAAGTTTATGCACAAGTTATTCTAATGCTAATGTATTGATGTTTGCTAGGTGGAGTAAATTTACAACATCCCATCATCACACACACACACACACACACACACACACACACACACACACACACACACAGACTATTAGAATAACTGACCTGTAGAACTAGAGGTGGAAGCTGAGTGAGAAAAAATGAAGATTTCTCTCAGTTTTACTCAGATCCGCCCACCATCAGCCTTTTTTGGGTAAAATATCAAACAAGAAAAAAGAAAACAAGTCTCAAAAGATAGTTTTCTTGTTAAAAGCAGAAAAAGGTCAATTACTAATCACCTACTGACAGCTGTGTGAAAACATTAAGGAACACAGAGGCTATGGAGGCCTTGTTTTGGAACAAAGCTGTGGTTAACAGACTGCCTCCTTAATCTGAAACGGCTGCACAATAATATGTGTCAGAGTTGTTCTTCAAGTCAGACAAACCTACTCGAACAAGGAAATTGTGGTTAGTTTTAAAGGCTTAGCTAGCTCACAACAAAGTTGCCACACTTGTCATATTTTGTGAAGATGGTCCTTCCTCATAAATGATCCACAATGTTCTGCTATTACTGCTTTGTAACGACACAGTTTCTAAAGTGACCTCTGTTGGCTGTGTGACTAACAACATGTAAATTGTCTGTTCACCACTGATGAGTGGAGGAGGGCGGAGTCAGGTCTTCAGTCTTCATGCTGGAAAGCTTGAGAATGGTTCTTACAAAGATGGTGTTTATTAACCCAAGTCACCAATCAATGTAAAGACAGTTTAGAGTAAAAGTGTATTTTTGATCCATGACTCTACTTACCTACTTATTTTTTTTGCTCTTTTAAAGTGGAAACACTATATGTTGTTTCTAATTACTACACGTCTGTGATGTGAGTCACACAGTGGTATTTACACCAGAAACTTAGAGTCCAGCCGTCCACTTGTTGTTCTTTGCTCCCAGCTGACACTGGAGTGTGGCCCACCGCCCTGACCAGCCCTGCATTGATGAACACAACCTATCCCCCTGCTTCCAGTCGCACACAAGGCCCTCCTGGATACAACACAACAGATTTCTTCACATCCACTGAGATCAGCGTGACTGCGGCTCCGAGTAATACGACCTCTGTCTCTTGGAATTCATCACAAGCTTCGCTGTGGACGAGTTCTGCATCTCACAGCCAAATGAATACAGCTGTGGAGTCAGCTCATCCAGCGACAACATGCTGTGAGAAATATTCTGTTTTCATCTAAAGTTTACATGAAATCTCCATCTCTTGATTGGAAGGGTGTCCAAGCCAGAAAGAGAGGGATATTTGGGTTTAACAAGCATTTATTTATAATTTGACATCATTTACACTGAAGCTCATCCTCTTTGGAGGAGTCTTAAATTGTTATTCTCATACCTGTAAAAAAATTTCAGCTATTTTTACTCGAGTATTTATTTTTCAGACTACTTTTTACATTTCTTCTGTGCATTTTTATCATGTTCACATGACGTTCGCATCTTCCTGGTACATTTGATGTTTAACCTCCATTTGTGGATCGCACAGCAAACTGTGATTTCTGGAAGTGTTCCTGAGCCCATGCAGCGACTTCCTTGCCAGATTATTCCTGGTTTTAATGTAGTGCTGCCTGGTGACATCCAATATTTGTCCTTTGCGCACAGAGATTTCATCATTTCTTCAGATTCTTGGAATCCTTTGTTGCAGGTGTAACAGCATTTTAGAGATATTTTGCTGCCATCAAATTCAAAATGAGATAATATTTTAATATTCCTTTGTGTGAAAGTTTCTGGATCTGGCTTGCACAGACCGAATAAGACTGGCCTAAAATGGTGTAGGATTAAACTGACAGGATGTAAAAAGTAAAATAATGCATTTTTAAGATGTTCTTTTTTGTTACTCTTGACAGGCTTAGACTAGCTGTGGTGTTTGTTTCCAGTCACTGTGCAAAACAAGGCTGGATGCTATTCCCTAAGACAAACCGCACAGATGTGGGAGTGGCATATTTCCACGCAACAACCAGCAAGAAAGCAGATTCAGATTAATGACAAGCGATTCCCCTGTCTGTCCTCTCCCTCAGCTCCCCCCAGCATCAGCAGCTTATGGTCTGCTAATGTTACTGGAACGTCCTTCTCTGTCTGCTGGTCCAATCATGCCGAGACAAAACAGACTTACCTGGTTGTTCTAAGGAAAGGGTCAGAGGTCATTCAGACTCAGAAAATCAGTGATACCACGATAGAGGTGAGCGGACTGAAGCCTGGACTGCTCTACAATGTTACCGTCACACCTCGTGCCTGCGGAAATCAAGGAGCCCCTCTTCACATCTCAGTAAAAACCTGTAAGTATTGGGATGTTGTTACATTGACGTTCATATTTTGATATATATGTTCAAAGTACTCGAGAGCTGCCAATCTATGTGACAGCTCCAGTAACTTTCAGTACAGCTTTACCTTTGTTTATAACTGTTTGTTATGCAGTCATATTGTTGTTATGGCTGATTGTGATGGTGCTTTTAAAAAAGTAAGGAAACACTTACATGACACCTTGGATCTTGATGTACGAAATATTCAGGCTGAACTTTTTATTTTGTTGAGAACAAATAGATGTAAAAAAAAAAGAGTTGAAAACAAACCATCAACCCTTTGAGTGCTGGATTCAAAATGACTTTAAAAAATCGAATTGTTCAAGTGTTCCCTTGTTTTTTATTCATTTGTATTTATTTATTATATTTTTGCAGTAGATTTTGCCTGAACCAGAAGAACGAAACTGACTAATTGACTAAAAATGCTGAAAAACACTTTTTGTCATTTTTCTTTCTGTGTGTGTCTCTGCATGGAGACACACACTTCTCAGGAAACAGTGATATTTTCCACCAGAGGCTTTCATTTCCACCTCCACTTGTTGTTCTTTGCTCCCAGCGATATTATAGAAATGTTATATTGCCAAATAGCATTGTGACAATATGTAACCTATAACATTATTATAACACTTAACACTGTTTTTTGGATATCTGCATGGTTATTATTAGAAGAAGAAATCATAAAATGTGTTACTGTCATAAGAGAAAAGTGAAAACAGAAGGAAACTGGAGTTGTTTAAGTTGGTGAAGCTGTTTGGCGTCACATCCAAGACGCTTCTTCAGTTCTAACAACAACAGGTAGGAAGCCTCTTGGATGTGAAGCCAAACGGTGTCACAGCTTAAAGAAGCTCAGTTGCCTTTTTCCCGAGCTTTTAAGACTCCTGTTACCTGCATGACTGAGAATCTAGACACACAGAGATGCATTACTTTCCCCTCAGAAGTCAAAATGTAGGTCAAATCTTTATTTCTCCTCTGTGGAAGTATTTTCAGAAAAAGAACAACAAGAATACTGGAAGTGTTTTTTTGTCTGAGCCACAAGTGAAGAAAGTGACTGACCCAGATTTCTGAAAATAAGAACATAGCCACAGTTACCACCCTGAGGGAGTGAGGAGTACAGCAGTTTAATTGTCTTTAATGACTAATGCGTGATGAAGAAAAGAATCAGTGTTTTATCAAAAGGCCTGGGGTCAGTAGGACGGTCGACATTTATGTGGTAAATGTGGTTATTGTGCATAATAAAGGTTTTCTTTGTAGACGCTCAGACTCTCGATGCCACAACACGACTTACCAACATAAAGTTCACAGCTGACCTCCAGAACACCAGCAGTCAGGCGTACAAAACCCTCAGTGAGAGTATAACAGAAGAGGTAAGTATCCAGTGACTGAATGTGATGTGCAAATGAAAACACAAACTTGAGCCTGTTTCCTGTGTCACCAACCAGATCTACCAGTCTGTGTCTCCAGAGGTGAAAGCCATGGTGGATTCAGGCCAGGTCAGGATCGAGATCAGAAACTTTTCCCCGGGGAGCGTGATGGTCAACTTCACCATAGTGTTTATCCCAAGTCAAAGCCTGGACATAAGCAATGTGTCCACAGCAGTTCTGCAGTCCCTGACGAACAGCTCGACATACACAGTAGATCAAAACAGCACAAGTCTAAATGGTATGTGTCTTTATATTTCTTATTCTAATGCTGTGGGCTGTTAGTGGTACACTGCTGGGGAAATGCTTCAAAGAGGGAGTGCTGAGTTTGACATTATAGCAAATTAGCGTCAAAGACTTACTCGCGGTGTTAGCAAATGTTTTATTTTTACTGAAATCACAGCACAGAAAAGAAAGAAGGCACTGGAGGTGGCCCAATATATAAATGGGGCCATGATGGTAGAAGCCACATATTAAAACTTTCATAAATCTTCATAAAATAGATATATTGTGTTTGTGCATTTGACTAGTGAGAGTCAGGGGGCCAGCCTACTACAAATCACAGCAGTTAATGTTTGTGCTGCAGACTATAGGAGATTACATCTCTGGAGACGTGCCTGAGAAGTTGCAGTATAGGCTAAGGTGAGAAGTAGAAATGGGGCCTTAATCATCCTGCAGCAGCCATTCACAGTCTTTGTACCAAACAGTTTTCTTGGTAGCTTTTGATTAAAATATAGCCAGCAGTCATTTTATTGTTTTATTGTTCTGGGATGTCCATTAACGAGTGAAAGGCAGCTGCAATCTTCATGTCTGTTAATGTGAACCAAACTTAACTAAAACTAACTGAAAACTGAAACTCGACATGAAGAAATCATTTAACTAAACTAAAATCTAGATTTTTGAAAATAAATAAATAATTAAATGACTGAAATTATTTCATGGACCTGAAAAAACCTCACTGAACTATAGCAGAAATATCCTGTTCACGTGTTTACTGAACGGGACGGCCGAGTCAGCGTTTCAGAACGTGTTGTGTTTTTATTGTACGTTTGCCGATTCTCTGCAGTCTTGCTTCAGACATGTGCGCTCCACATACTTTCTCTCTTGGCACAATATGTTAGAATAACTATGAAGCTGCGTTGTGGAATCCAGAAATTCTGGATGTCGACTGATGCTTTGACTTAAAAGGCAATATTTCTTGGTCGCTGTTGCCTCATGTTAATTTTCTCAGCTTTATGGAAATACAACACAAATGATGCACAAAGTCATAATGCTCTAACTGCACAATGTTTTTTAGTACATACCATTCAAAAGACCTAAGTGCACTAAAAGTATTAGCAAAACCTTTTTGTGTCTCAAAAGCAACATTTTGGAAATTCAAAGTAATTAAAGTAACATCTAAATCATCAGCCAATAACATAATACCTGACTCTATTTTTTTATTTCTGTGTCTGTAGATTTTAATGAATGTGCTTCGGGGGAAAATGATTGTTCCCAGTCGGCCACATGTAACAACACCTGGGGCTCCTATACATGTGTTTGCCTGTTCGGGTTTACTGACAACGACCCAGAGAGACCTGGACGGGTCTGCCAAGGTAGATGTAAAAACTCATTTATACACATTACATGTAAAACAGAATATCTTTGTAACCAGCGAGCATTGTCTCGTGCAGCACCTACAACCTTAGAAACAGCGGCACCGCCCCTGACGACAGCTGTAACCACTTCAACTACTGCTCCAGAAATAACCACAGACAGTATATCAACAAGTCACATGGTTTTCACAACAATCTCAACTGTTGCTCAAGCTTCCACCATCACTACCCCGACAACCAGTACTTCCCTAACAGCCATCCCCGCCTCTACAATTGCCACAACAACTGCTACCAGCTCAACAAAAAGTACCACTGCTCTGGGATCTGCCACCGACGACTCTATCCAAGAAGCCCTCTCAGTCCATTGCAGACTTGCGGCCATCACTGTGACTGTCACTAAGAATTTTCTTCTGAGCTCCATGATCCAGGAGAGTGCACTTTACTTGGGCACGGTGGGCTGTGGCATCAATGGCGGCAATGACACGCACGTGGAGCTGACCGTGGCCTGGAATGAGTGCGACACTAAACTTGTGCAAGTGAGTTTTTCTCCTCTGCATTTGGGAAACCTCCTGAATCCCCTGTGCTCTTGTTTTTTGTATACTAGCTTGCCATTGTCTTCTTCAGCTAAGTACGAAGTATAAAAAAGTATGAAAACCAACACTCTGCTCTTTCTGCCGTGTCGGTATTTCAGAATGAAACCCACTACATAGCCTCTGTAAACCTGCTTGACACTATGGATCCATACACTTCACCAACGGGAGCAACAGAGGTGCCCAGAAAACAGCTGGAAGTCCCAATCATGTGTACCTACATGAAGAGCATGCTTATTTCTGCAGACCTTAGCCCCATGGGGTAAGTGCCATGAGTACTGTCCCGAATACTCATTATATTTTATTATTTTTCAAATCAGTAACCCCTTGATAACTGATACAGCTGACAAATGCCTCAAGAGGAAACAGCATCGAGAGATAAAGAACTACTTCTCCAGAACAGAATATTGACACATTCAAAAAGTACCTACTTGAGCAATGTCACAGAGAGGCAGTGTTGCTGTTCAGAATATCAGCACAGCGGGGATTTGATTGCTGCTGCTGCATTTACACAGCAGTTTCACGAGCAGCCTTTATTAGCTGACAGTAACAAGCAACAACAGACTGGGATAAATTCTTTGTTAGTATATTCAGGACCCTGAACTGCGTTTCATAAACAGCTGTCATTGGTATGAAGGTTTAAACAAGAATGAATCCCAAGATAGAGGCTGATACTGTAGAGCTCCCATTTAGTTATATAAATGGACTTAACTGAGGCTGAAAGCTGCTCAGCACTCATCAGTGTTGCCACCGTAGGCTATCGCCATTCTTAATATCCTATTGAGCATAAGTCTGATAGGTGTTTAGCTTATTTACTTCACTTAAACTCTCATGTCCCACTTTCACTGAATGCAGTTATATTGTGCATTAGTGGCATAAACTGATAAATATTTCATTTTTAATATTTTGTATAGTTTATATTGTATTCATTATACCTACAATTCATTCCCATCCATATCCAGGTATGACATAATTAAAATCACAGGATCGGGGTCATTGCAGATGAGCGTGCATCTGTTGGACAGTGCAGTGCCTCTGCCCTACAACTACAGCCTGTCCCGTGAGCAGCCCGTGGTAGTGGAGGTCAGACTCAACACCTCTTCAGATCACATTAAAGTAGTCATCAGCAAGTGCTGGTGCACTCCCACCCCAAACCCCGTAGACGCCTACAGCCATGTCTTCCTGGAGAAAAGGTCTGTTTCCCAGCTACAGCTTTATTTAGCTTACTCATACTGTTACCACTATGATTATTGTTAACTCAGACAACTTTAATCTGGAGTTAAGATCTCAGATGGGGTTGACTTGGCCAACATATGCATTGGTAACACACGTTATATAAAAATGTGTCATTTAAAAAGTCAAAACTCTACAAATTAAGTTCCTGACAGTTTCTGTCTCAACGAATAAACATCTGTGGTTTTAAGTTGATAGGAAAACTTGTTCTGGATGATAGAAATGATAGGTAGGTAGCTTCATTTGTCAGCATATGATTAACTTGGGGCTTCACACTTTTTAAAACAAGATGCAAATGTGACCAGCTTCTGTGGGGTGACACGTAAAAAACTTCTTCCCCTCCCTAAAAGGAAGTCTTTCACAAGGCCTGAAACCAGGCCCTTCCATTCTTTTATCATTACAAAGACAGAACAAGACAAGGATTCATATTGTGTCGCTCATTTTGTTAGTTACTGTCTAAAGCTACAGTCAGCAGGAGGTTAGCTTAGCTTCTGCTTCTGCTGGAAGTCTGGAAACTTCTTTTAATCCCTGCAACACAACATTCAAGTATGCATTGAGCCATTGTGTAGTTACGTTCTATGGGAGGTGCACGTCGGGTTAAATAGGTATTCAGTTAAGATGAAGTTGCAGTTATGTTGTAAGTTACCACGTAAATCTGATGCACATATAAGGGTAAAGCTAGCTAGCCTAGCCCCATTCAGATACAAGAAAATCTGACTCCCATTGTCTCACTGCAAAACACGTGTCAGCGGAGGCATTTGTGAAACAAATGAACTAAATTATATGAATTAATGAGCTGCATAGTTGCCAGGGGGCCAGTTTTGTTACTGTGTCTGTTCGCATCACCTTTTTTTCCATTTCTACGAGCAAACTTAGAATCTCCAGCTTCATATTTACAATATTTGTTTTCTAGTGATCAGTTTCAAACACCTGGTACTTAGATGTATGGCAGGGACATGGAAAATGTGGTGGTCACGATATCATCTACTGAACCCTCCCCCCCAAAATCTCCCACATGCAGCAGTGTTGACGAGAAGGCATTTTCTGATTCACAGCTAAAGGTCCCTCCATTCAAATGAAATTCATCTTTGAGCAGGATTTAAGAAAAAAAAAGTGCCATCAAAAGTGACAATGAGTCAGTGCGGTAGCTAAATCTGTGTTAAAGCCTTCTGCAAAGCGATAATAAGAGAACCAGCAGATTATTCAGCTGTCTATATATTTAGCACGATGCTTTCTAATAATAGTTTTTGATCAGGTGCAGTTAAGTTCATCAGTCAGCCCCACTGTCTGTGTCTCCACAGCTGTTCCCTGAATGCATTCACCAAAGTGATGATGAACGGGAACTCCAGCACGTCCCGTCTGTCCGTGCAGATCTTCTCCTTTGTCAACCTGAAGGTGATCTATGTGCACTGCAAGGTTCAGATCTGCCTGCAGACTGAGTCGAATAGCTGCGTGCCAGTGAGTGCTTTCTACTCCACAATACATTTCATGCAACCCTGCAGCTTTGACCCTGCTTAGACTAAAAGCAGTTAATGCAACATAAACTCGGCTCACGTTTTGTTGCAGGACTGTCACCAGAGAACAGCTCGATCTGTAAATGCACTTGGAACAAGGTTCGGTTCAGCTGGGCCTCTGATGAATTCAGATGAAGGTGTGTATTTTTACACAGTATCTGCTTTGAAAACACTCCGCTCCAGAGTGTTGGAGCACGGCTGATTTCACCTGGATGCTTCTTTTGTGCTTCAGTTGGAAGTGTAATGACACTTCAGCTTGCACTCAACACGGACCGTTTTAAAAGTAGAAAAGCTATTTAAATCTTCAGTGGCCATTATAAATCTGGCTCTCACTTCATCTCAGCATTTAAATGGGCCATCTATAGCTGTTGAATTAAGTCAGTAGTGCAGCTGTCGCTATTATCAGTGTGGTGGAGAGGAAAGTTCAACTAGCTTGATGGAAAACATTTATCCATCTATCCATGTTCTTAACTAGCCATCGCTAGGAAAGGGTTGGCTGCTTTTATCATGACACACTCACGAGGGGAACATTTTTTTAAACATTATTTTTATGTAAGGGAGCTGGAAATGTTTGTTTTAAGAGCCAGTGAGTAAGGTTTTGGTATTTCTGTCATCATATACTGCTTGTCTGCATGTTTGTACTTCTTCAGCCTTGGTTCATATATTCCTGCAGAGCCCTTGGATAAGGAGCTGAGCACTCTAAATGTAGTTGGGCTTTCCATTCTGGGAATTTGCTTGTCGCTCTTCTTCATCTGTTCCCTCGCCTGCCTCTTCTACTGCCAGAGGAACCGCATCGGACACTACAATTTTAACGTCAAACCCAAAGAGGAGAAGTTCACCTACCTTGCCTATAACACCTAATGACAGCCCCTGCACCCACAGGCACACAATTAGAAGAGATTAGACGTGCTGTCGCTGCTTTTACGCTACACCTGCCACCATGTGTCACTGTTGCACCATTCACCCTTTATCGTGTACATGAAACTATTATGTACAGTTTGAATTTAAATTCCACCTGCACCTTCTTTGTATAATTAAGATATTCAAACGATAGAGTGGTTGTATACAGCGATGTCAAATGTAGAAACTATCAATATTTCATGCATGACATATTTAATGACTGCAGAGAATCAGATACCAAGTAACTATGCAAGTGTTGGTCTCTGTATCCTATTCTTACAGTCAAACGTGTTCATAGCTGCCTCTTTAAATCATGTTATTTATGCTATTTTTTTGCTGTCTGTTATCTATTGTGTTTACTGACACATAATTTGTGCTCTAAGTGGTGAGACAATAAACACGTCCTGTATAAACTCAGACACTTGGGGGTGCTGCTAACACAGTTCTTCATTAAAAAAAACAGTCCAAGATGGCTTCCTGCACTCAGAGTAAACACGAGCGTTTACAGGGGACGATGTGAGGCGGTGGATTCAGAAAAAACGAAAAATTTACAGTCCCGCTTTTATTCGGTTGGCTGGAGGTTGTGCTGTCAGTTTCTCCTTTACCCAGATCAGCGGTTAATGAAAACATCTCATATGAGCCTTTCTCAGCAGAGAAGAGCCAAAGATGAGAGCCCAGCTTTTCTTTCACACTTTGCATAATCCGACATTGTCACGGGGTCAGAAATGCAGCAGCGATGGGGGTGAATACTAAAAAGAGGAGAGGCTTTCTCTTTCATGGGAGGTCCCTGGAGACCTGCGGTGAAGGAGGGCTTACTACCATCTGGAGTGCAGCAAATGCTCCGCCTTCTCATTAACCCATTCAGCCTCACAGTCTGAAACCTGGCAACCCATCGCTATGGCAACAGCTCTGTGCAGGGATGGAGGGGAATGACGGATGCAGCAAGAAGGAGCGAGAGCAGCAGTGATCAAAGCAGAGGAATGGCTGCAGCTCAGGAGCTTCTATTTCTTCCTTTCAGACAAACCACGTGATGACGTTATATCACACACAGCACATTCCTGGGCTTCATCTCTGCTGCTGAGTGTTTCGGTAATGGTTTCCAGTTAGTCTCTGGACAGCACTATATTTCAAATGTGCAGGTGTTTAATAATTTAGAAGCAACTCACACACACACACACACACACACACACACACACACACACACACACACACACACACACACACACACACACACACACACACAGTGTCAATTATCCCAGTTTTTAAACACAAATAACTTGTGTCTGTTGAGTGCTTTCTAAATTTACGAGTCAGGAGCGTGACAGTGCCGTGAATTACTTTTCCAACTTTGTGCGTCTGTATTCTGGGAGGCAGTAATGGCTGTAACATGATCCACGTCTCCACAGTCCTTCCTGTTTTCCTCCTCCTGCATCCTACACCAGTCTCTCTGCCTCACTGTTCATCCCGTAACAGCGGCTCTGAAACAGTGATTGGTTCTGCTTCATGATCTATGGCTGTAAATGTGCTTTCTCTCACACGGGTCATTACTAATTAAACATCCTGATCCCGATTGTATTTTCATAGAGCACATTAACACTGTCCCTCAGGCATCTGGCCAGTGTAATGGCTTTGTAATCTTCAGAGGTGAGAGATATAATTATGCTGTCCGTGAACTATTAGAAAATACCTCTCACTTGATATACAACATCTAATTCTCAGTCAGTTCCATCAGTTTGTTTCAGTTGTGAAAAACATTTACTCCAGTATGTTTTTCATGTATTTCATAATTGCAGTTTCTAGTCAAAGAATTTAATGCAAAGTTATAGACTATGTTAATCAACAGTGAAACTGTTACCAAAGGATATCCTATAGTTACTTGCTAGGCACGATGCATTTACACTCAGTAATCTGGAATTTCAATGACCAGTTGAACATTGTGTTTTTCTTCTAATTGGGAGCAGATGAGTTTAGCAGAGTTTTCTTTTTTTGAAAATTCAAAAAGAGCTGCTCTTCATCCACATTCAAAAAAGTCTGGGTCTCCTAGCTGAGGTACACCGAGCATGCTCAACTGGGAGGAGAACCTGGACTGGAGATTATAATCTGGAGAGATTATGGCTACGTTCACTCTGCAGGTCTTGATGCTCAATTCCGATTTTTTGATCAAATCCGATTTTTTTGTCTGCTCGTTCACACTGTACATAATAATGTAGATAACCTAATAATGATCCTTATTGCTGTTTTAGAGGAGCGCTGCTTCAAAGGATAGCTGCAGATTTCTGTCAGAATCTGCAGATTATACAGAACAAAGAAAATGTTCACATTGTCTTACTAACAGTTTCACTAACATCTACACTGGAGGGCCAGGAAGTGTTCGTGATGTCTTCTCCGGCGCTGATAATTGGCGTCTGTTTCTTATCTCGCTCTTGCTTATGTAACAGACAATAAACCACATATGAAATATGAGTTAGTGACATGTTCTGCTTTTTTGTGCAGAACGTGTCACTTTGTTGATGCAATGATATCTAGTGTTTGCAGACTTACCAGCGTAGTAAAAGAGTCAAGTCTAGTGAGGGTCTAAATTTTCACCCAGGAATGATACACACCAACCTGTTTGAGAACAACTAGTCCCGGTTTGTTTAACTGTTGTTCGCTGGAGCGCTGAGTATCAAGATTTGTCTGTGGCACAGAGACAAAAACTGAAACAGGATCTGAAAGCTGGCATTTAATGCCCGGTCAGATCTAGTTCAGTCTAATCTAATTCTTTGATCAGATAGTTCCGGGTTTAATTGAATGTAATTGGAATTTTAGACCACTTTGTCCTCTTGCAGATCTTCTTATGCACACCATCAGTGTAGGTATCTTTGTACAGCACTTAGGCACAATAGATCATTCAAAGCAAGTAAAAAGGAAGAAAAGAAAAATCCATGGAGGTAACATAGCAAACCTTTTGATTTTCCACACACAGCAAATACCTTCAAGGCTCTTTACAAAAGAGGCTGTTTTAGACATCTTTGAGTTCTTGATAGAGTGTATCATCAAGCACTCACATGGGATTTTCAGGTGTGTTCTGCCAGTTGTCTTCTTGATCTTCTAACCTCAGCAGAAGTCTGGTACCAAACCTAAGAGACTCTAATCATCACACCCTGATGATCATATTCCTCTTTAACACAACAGAAATCCATCAACGTAAGAAAACAGTTGGAAGACTCAAACTGTGAACAAAATCAAGCTAGGAGGAACAAATGGGTAGCAGCTGGCCTTTTTAGGAGAAAAGGGAAATAAACTATATGTGTGTCTCATATCGTACTTCAGATAAAAATAAGAGGAAGCAGCCTTTACAGCTGTGCCATCAGACCACCTGCACCTCCATCTGATTTATGAATCTGCGTCTTTATAAACGTAGCTGTGTAATTAGGAGAGACAACAGCAGTAGTGGGTCTAAAGTGTGCTTCTTGCACATTGCACTCAAGTTCAGTATCAGTAGAAAACCAAGTTTATTGTTAACTGACGTATAGATTAAAATGTAAATTGTGCGCTGTATAATAAAATGTTGCTGTTTTAAAAAAAGGTTGAATTAAAACAAAAAACTATGATTTTGAAATCTGCACAAATATGTTTGTCAAAGGAGCTTGCAAAGAAAAGCGTCTGGACTTCTTTAAGTTACTTGAAGACGTTT